TGCTTTGAATGTCCAAATATCCCCACTAAATTTTTACATGGGGGGGGTTTTCAAACGGACTCAACAGCTCAGGCTTTCTTGACACTGAGGAATTGGTCAGCTGCCGTTCCTTGTCCCACCGCCTGTGAACATGCCTTCATGCCTCATGTGGATATTGTACAAATGTATGGCAGGGTTTGCTATGCAGAGAGGATTGTCCAGCACTTCAGACTACATGTCTGATTTCTGTTCACTTGGCAAACTTTTCTGCAAGTTTGAGAATTTGGGTTACAATACAGAGAATGGCCAAAACTCTAAGAGCCTTAGCTTCCACTTGTACATTTACTAGCTGCACAAGGACTTGTTCAGGAAGACTGTGCTAAGTGCAGTGGCAGATTCCTCTCTAAATAGGATTGGTGGGCTCGCTTAACAAAGCCAAAAACAGTTGGGTGGAGGAACATCTTATTACCCATTAAGGATTAAGCAGACTGAAGATTGGCGGGCATAGCTCCTTGTACAACAAACTTCTTTCATTGGGCTGTGACTCCTAGTAGACGAGAATGTATGTTTGCCTCTTGCTGTTTCAAGAAAATTGGAACAACAAGGTTTCTGATCTGCTTCTGGTGATCATTACACGGCTTGGCAGATGTCCAACTGGCACATTTTTACTGTTGTTCTAGTAATACTTAGCTATGGCCCCTTTAAAGGAATTTTGTCATTGAAAAGAATAGAGGCTGCGGTTGGTGGTTGCCTTCTGGAAATACAAGTTGTTCATCTGTTTTACTTGCCATCTGGATTTGATGCTTGCTGACCAGAGCGGCAGATCTGAACACTTGTTCCAACTCAAAGTATTGAAGCCAGAATGACAGCCAGGCACCTAGAATTTTTGAGGCTAGCAATGGCAGACACTTTCTCTCATGAAAGGTTTACTGTAAATTTTCTCCAACTGGATTGGGTCCTGCATGCTACCTGAATTGGCCCTCTTGTCTTTCTGCCTTATTTCACAAAATCGTGCATCAGTTTTCACAAGAACTATTTTTATTGTGATGGGGAGTAAGAGGGAAAATGATTCATGTCCTATCATTAGGGTTAACAGAGCATTTGGTGTGCCGTTTCTTTCTTCTGCACTGAGCGCGGTTACACAATCGCGGTGTGAGATCCCTACATCTGCTCTCTGCCTTTACACTCGGTGTGGGATTAGTGGTTTCCTGTGTGTGGTTTGACGCTCTAGTTTCTTGTCCAGATGTGTCACATAAGGCAGCAAACTCTTTGTAAAGGTCGGGATGCCGTCAGGGTGGATTTTAAATCATCATTTTGAAAGAGCAACTGTCATCTCTGTCCCGCAGCGGCTCCTCCTCTGACCCGCTGTTGGCTCACCCGACAGTCCCATTCCCTTTTAAAGGAGAACTATGAGGAGTGCTTTTCACTCACCTCATAGTTCTAGCCGACCTGTGACAATGAGACTGTCACAGGTCGGCTCAGTAGATCGGGAGGTGAGCGAACACATACCGGCGTTCACTCCCCTCTCGATCCTGCCACGGCTCCCTGCCATGACAGGGGGAGGTGCTGGATTCCCCCTTCCCCGCTCCGATCCATCAGCGCTGACTGGCGGAATGGACGGGGGAGGGGGCGGTTACACAGCTGGGCGGATCCCGCCACAATTGTCGGGATCTGCTTCACCTGCGGCGTCTTAGTATACCGCGAGCTACAGCTAGCGGTATACTGAGCCTAGGGTGACGGGAGGATGCTAGTTTGTGTCCTCCCGTTACCCTAGGGAGAACTATGGGGAAAAGCCTTAACCCCATAGTTCTCCTTTTTAATGGGACGGCTGGTGATGCGGCAGTGACACAACAAGGTGAGGGACGTGGCGGGCAGCAGCTGAGTGGATTTGCAAAGCTATGGGGTAAAGGAATATTCCTGAACTTTGTTTTATGATTTTATCTCAGTTACTTACCGTGTAATCGTGTGAATGCATCAATGCAGTGCGTGTTATCTCAGCTTGGATTCATTGAATGAGTTTACCAAAAATGTAAATATTGCAGACTATACAGCCTCCTGCTACATAACAAAGCTCAATTTCATGCTGAATAAACCAAATTATTAATGTATCTGAAATCGAAAACCTATCCTTTTTTTTTTTTTTTTTACTCCAAAAGCATTTTATTAAAATACATTTGATAATCAAAACAATCCGTTTAAAAAAACAATTTGTATCCACCCTGGATGCCGTGTCACCTGCCTTTGCACAACTGTCCAGCACACATGGGGAGCAGAGCGGAGGCAGGGGGTCATTCGTGTCGTCATCCTCCCTTTTCACACTGGTGTGGCGTGTGAGAGTTTACTAGAGCAAAGTATCTTTGAGGGCTGTGAGTTTCGATGGGGAGATGTTACACAGCTGTTTCCTTTAACCAAGCAGGAGGGGGAAAACATTGCATCTGTTGCTCATTGTGGGGAAGCAGATTACATTTATCACCTCTGTTTAAAGTGTACTTGCCAATAGGATTTGGTGGGGGGCGGGGGCCTTGATAGAATTGCTTAATTTGCGAGAAAAATAATGCTGTCTCCTTGCCACTCTGCAGGTGTCAAAACACCCACATTGTGCATCTTCACAGCTCTTTATATCTTTTACCTTTTTAAACCTATGTCCTGCATTCTTTTTTTTGCATGGTTTTCCACACTCCTTTTTATCTTCTGTTCCCTATCATTGCACACTGTCCTCTGCAGGTATATGACCAATCTGATGGGTTAAATAACTGCGTGAAAAGTTGTTTAATGATTATACAAACTTACCACCCCAACCACTGTGGTTCTTAAAATAAAGGCTGTACTCCGAATACACAATCTGACATTACTATACTTCAAGGTGATGGCATTGTCTCTTCCCTTGATCCTGAAGTTGGCGGATCCAGACTTTTTATCTTGTAACTTGTTTAGATTCATATAATGTGTTTTGGACACAGTAGGAAATTAAGTGTTTATAATTTTGTTCAGCTGCTTTTAACTTGTCTAGGTGGCCCATTCGCATAGTTCTGTTGCTGTGCGTCATTGTGCATGGTAGCACGTTGTACCATGTGTTGCATTAAGCCAGCCCAGTCGCAAGGGTTCAAAAATGCACATTATTGTGACGCAAGCTTTGTGGAATATATGAAATTTAACTTTTTAATGCATATTTAATGGAGGGGGGGGGCGGGGGCACCATTCCTGATCCCTGAAGTGACCTGACCCGAGGACCCGACTCTCTCATCCAATCCTTCTACCCACGCCTGTAATTGGATAAAGCGTTAATCCAAAGTTTGCAGTGACGCCTGAGTCATTGTGAGCACGGCTTTACACCAGAAGTTCGTCTTGAGTAATCTTTGTGGAATTCTCCTATAAACTGGTATTTGGAAACTGCAATCGTCATATCACAAGAGTAAAAAACTAACTGCAAAGTCTTCTTTTTTTTTTTATAAAATGAACTAAAGCTGAACTTCCGTCATTTAAATGCCCTTCTTAGAATTGCACCATAAAAGGGTTCTTTAACATTTTCTCCCCACGGGATGACGTTAAAGAAACCAAACCACTATCAGTATATGGAGCTGCCATTGTAGATCTCCTTTTGAAAATGTTGGTTGCCTGGGTTTCATGGTAACAGTGACTTCAGTACTTCCGAATAGCTGACCCTAGGACAAGTATGCAGATCATAAAAGTCAACCTAAACCCCCTTATCTATGTACTTTTTATGGGTCAGTGACTCAGTCCATTGAAGGCTGTAGATCCGCATAAAATCCTGGAAAATGGCATGTTCAGGTCAGAAACGGAAGCATACACCTTCTGAGAAGATTCCTCCTTAACCACAAGCTTGCTTTTCCTTTTAGGCCTTGACGTTGACCTAGGCATTGGTTTGACATCAGTTTGAGATGCTTGCTTTCATGGACTGGTGGATTGGACCTGCTTAAAATGGGTTTTGAGTTCCTATGGACAAAAGCCTGTCGACCCTCCCCCGAATATTTAGTATTTATTTTTATTATTATTATTATTATTATCATCAACCATAATATGTCGATGATATTTATTAATGATGATGTTGATGATGTTATTAATATTAACAATATTATTAACATTATTAATAATAATGTTTGTTATACAGGATTTATATAGTGCCAACAGTTTGCGCACAACTTTACAATATAAGGAAGACATTACAAATACAATTCAAGATGGTAAGGAGGGCCCCCGACGCCGATTGTATTTTTTAGGGAGCTCTTGGCAGCTTACTGCGGTGCAATCTCCCCCATGTAGAATTGGTACGGGGTAAGCTGATGCAGGCACACACCCAAAACTACATCTCTTAAGAGCACTTTACCTACACACAGTGTATGGCCGGGCTCTTGGTAGTCAAGGTAGATGTCGTTTTTCACTACTGGGAAAGAAATGTACGAAGTTGGAGAGGGGTGGGGAGGTAGATAAAGTTCTGTAGTCTTGCATGCAGGGCTGACAATGCTGCCTCGGATTTTGAGTGCAGCAAATTGTCAGCACAAATAGGATGTTGGCTCACTGGAGTTCTGGCAGATCAACAAGGCATTTTTATGTGACAAATCCGGGGGAAGCATGTCTAACAACATAATGAATGTGGCTTTTGTTTTTTTCCAGACACCCTTCTTAAGTCGATCTTCTATTTTTCTTTTTTTGCATTTTTATAAAGG